TCGTTCCGAAAACCTGAGGTACAATTAGCCAAATATGCTCACGTATCGGGTTTCACCGAAGCCCTGTGAGCCTCCACGCCTCTCAATGGGTCCAGCTCCTAAATGCTTTCATGCCTGATTGATCATCAATATCAGGCAGGAGTTTGCTCATTAGCCCCTCACAGAGTGCATTTGAGATCGCAATGAGCTTCATTTCAGGAGGATATGCTAACTGTTAATAAACTGAATTCAATTTTTTTTCTTTTGTGAAAAAATATACATGAAAATTCCACTAAGAGAACTGAACAAATGTCAATTATTCTGTAACAGTTTGACATTATATTACTGAAGTGACTTTAGTTAAATATAAACTCGGTGTCTACTCTTTATTTTGAATTTTATATTTTCGGTCTGTTGGGCATCTCCCATGGTTACACTGATGCATTCAGCTAGTGTGACTCCTTGTGCCTAAAGAAGGAAGTTTATTTTTAAGACCCAGTGGATCTTTGTAAGTAACTTCCTAGGCAGAAATTGTAAAAGAAAAAACAAGGTATACTTTAACACATTGCTGAAATCTCTATGAAAATTCATTATTTTTCCTGTTAATTCATTAAAGATTATTAGAGTGCCCAATTGTATCCCTGCTTTAGTAATCTATGTTGAAAGTACGTCTGGGGATGGGCAAATCTCCTAAAAAGGCATAAAGGAATCTTGTTCACAGGGATAGCTAAATTAGCTCAATAAAGAGGAATCAGAGAATAGCTGTGCCCCTAAATTCTGATTCTAACATCATAACCTTGTATGTATCCCTCACTTTGTTTTGTTTCCACTGAGTCACAGGCACTGAAGTTTGTCAGTATGATGATTGCTGAAGAATTCCAACTTGCAGCAGAGCTGAGCCATGCCAGCAGGACCGGAGCACCCCAAGGATCCTGTTCACTAACTCATACCTGCACAGGACTCACTAGAAACAGACTACGTTCACTGAATCATCCACTTGTTTTTCTCATTAACTGAACTAAGAAAATAAAATTCATGCACAAAATAAAATACATGGAGTTTAGGGGACTCTTGGAAGAGAGAAAAGATGTATGGCAAGGTATAGAATTTTAGTGCAGCAAATAGTTACAAATACACTAATTAGGGAGTCAACACGAGAAGTAATTACATATTTAAGGATGTAACATTTGAAGTAATAGTCTGTAATCAATAATTATCTCCCATCATAAATTATAACAATCACTAAATACAGTAGCATCTTTCTCTGTCCTTGGAGTCTTTAACACATCGAAGGTGTTGACGAAGTAGATAACAAAACGGTAAAGGACATTCTAATTATTCCAGGTGTAGGACGAAAAGATGTGCTGAATAGATAGTGGTACAAGCACATTCACAGCGGCATTTAGTAGACAACAAAACCACCGCCAATCATCCATGAGCAGAGAAAGAAGTGTCTCGGTTAATGACCGAGCTTTCCCAGTTGTCACAAAAACAGAGGGAAGAAAATAAAAAGAATTTTCTTACTTGGTAAAACTGTGTGAAATAACAAAGATCCATTATTGGAAGAGAAGGTATATTTCTTTTTTATTTTAAAAACAAAGCAGGTTAAGAACAATACAGAATTTTTAAAAATGTTAGAAAATTAACAGTAGTTAATATATATTATGTAGGCTGATCTTAGACACAGCTGCTCAGATTACAAGATTTAGGCATGAAAAACATGGTCAGTCTATATTTTCACTGGAAGGCATACTTCTTGATAGCTATTTTATACCCCAATGCCCACAGCTTATATTTTTCTTTCTTCCTAAAAACATGTTTAGAAGAAAGATTTCTTCTTATATTTCCACAAGAATCCAGGGCTCCTGAGTAACTCCTCTAATTGTCACATGATATTTAGTTTTAAGTGATTTCATTAAGGGAATTCTGTGGCTACATTTATGAAGGACCAAGTTGAAACTAATTCTACGTTGGTTTTTATAGCATGCTGGGCCAGCTAACCTGACTGTCAGCTTGACAGGGAGTTAGTAAAGTGCAAATCTGTGTACCGCTGGGTGGTGACCGAGGTGGCCTTAGGGTCACATGGGGTTCCTTGTGGTCTCCTCTCTGATGCCCTTTCCTTGCTCTGCTTCCTGGATGTCATGAGCTAGGCTTTGCTACACCACTTTGCTACACTATGTTGTCTCTGCTGTGGATGCAGCCAGCTGAGGACTGGAACTATCAGCCTCTTCGGCTTTAAATGACAGAGAGCAGATGTTTCGTCCAGCGGTGGGAAAACGGGCCGATACAGAAGATTTCACTAAGAAGAGGGGATGCTTGCTGTGATGAAATCATCTTGGCTTAATATCAATGTGGTTTAAAACCATTTTGCATCTGGTTTGCAAAATGAATTTGGAAAATATTGGAGATGAGGGCTGAAGAAGTCCTGGCATATTACACTTCGAGCCTGCAGAGCTGCACTGGTCACATCTCAGAAAACCTGAATGCTAACGAAAGTGCAGACAGCAAAGGCCAGACCTGTGAGCTCTGAGGTGAGGATTTTATTAGGAATTTAATTAGAAATCATAGATGCTGCATTCTGGCAAAGAAATTGTCTACATTTCCCCCACATCCTAAGACTTTGTTTTGAGCCCCAAATTGAAGTTCTTCAAGAACATTTGCTGTGCCTCTTTCTCTATCAATCCTCAAAATAATTTAGACTAAAAGCAGCCTATAGCAACCATGCCAGAGCCCGAAAAATTGATCTGCCTTGATTTTTTTTTCTGCCAGATCAATTAATCCACCACCCTTAATCTCAACCATTTATAATCACAAATAAATTAGGGGCCAAAGCAGATGTCATTGCTGAGGAGATTAGCACAATTTAAAAGAAACCAAATGTTCTGCGTGGAGAAAAAAAGGCAGATGCCTTGAGGGTATCTTAGGAATCAGCAAGACCCCACCTGTCATGTCCTCAAAAGCAAAACGTCTTTCATTTGAGAAGAGTGGCCTTGAGCCCCTTGCTTGAGAAAATTCACATAGGACTTGGTCCTCTAGGCTTCAGTTCACTGTGTTCACCCATCCAGACACACAGAGGATGCTGCCGCATTGGCCAAAGGGATTCTAACTACTCTTTGGCATCAGACCTTGGTGCTGCCCATTTGTACTCACTGTTTAATCACAAAGAATGCAAGCATCGTGGGATCATGGAAATTTTGCTGAGGTTTCAGAGAAAGAACCAGAAGTCTAGGCAGTGCAACCCTGAGAAGTGGGTACTGAAGTGGTGAGAGGGAAGCTGCAGGTGCAGTGGAGACCTCAGGAAGTCAGAGACACCAGGAACCTTGAACACCTACCGAGAGCCAGCCAAACACAGGTACAACTGCAAGGTCACAGGCACAGCGCTGCCCAAGCCCCCTGGAATCTACGTCTCATCCCCGTACAGGGGAGATGCTAAGTATTCAGACACAGAACTTTGCCCAGCTTTTTCTGTCTTGCTTTGACTCCTATTCTTTCTATCTCCCTGTTCCTATCTTTTGGAATGGGAATATTTACCTTGCACCAGCATAATTTGGAGATATTTAGCTTGCTTTTTGAATTTTACAGAGGTTCATAGCTAAGAATTTGTCTTAAGTCTTGGAGAAGACTTTGGGTTAGACATTAGAAAAATGCCAGGACACTTGATACACTTTATATTGTTCATGGGATGGCTGTATTATGTTAGGTGGAATTATGGCTCTGCATTTCCTTAGAGATTAAGCACACTTTAAGGAGATATGTTTCAGTGTCAGGCTCACAAGGCATGAGATATGAGAGGCAAGCAGAGTTTTGTGATCATTGTAGCAAGAGTCATCTAGAGATTAGAAAAGCATACTTTTGGCTCTGTCTCGTGGGTCATCATGGCAAGACCTCGGGGACTGGCTTCACCTTTAGCCCTCTCCCCAATGGCTCTGCTCACCAGGTGCTATAAGCTAAGCTTATATAGCTATAAGCTATAAGCTTCCTCTGCCACATGCTTCTGTTATGATTCTTCTGCCTTAGAGCCAAGGAACCATGTGCTGAAGCCTCTAAGAGAACGAGACAAGTGACCCTTTCTGTGAGTTAAAGGTGCGAGGTATTCTGCCCAAGTGCAGAAAAGTGAACTAACAGAAATGCTACAAATGTGTGTGAAAACACTGAATGGTGTCTGTTTCCCTTTTCGTGCACTAATCCAAAGTTTTATGAAGGTAAAATGAGAAACTCAAAACAGATTCTAAAATGTACTTTTGAGCAAACAGAGCTTCAGAGACCTTAGAAATTGTCATAATATGTCTGCAATGCAAATTCTTTATAATAAGGTAAATTTGATTCTTAAGGTAATGCTATTCTTCCATCCACTGAAGAAATCCTCTTGAAATACATAGTGCTCTGCTACCAAGTAGATTTCAAGTCTCAATTTTCAAGGTGTCCATGTATCACCACTCTTTTTTTAGGGCCTCCTTCTTGGAAATTTCACTGTTTGAATTCTCTGAACACATATGGAGTTTTTTTCTATTACTTATTAATGATGCCCATGTCTGAGCCAGGAGTGTGGTGAAGCCTCCCTGTGATCCCAGCACTGTGGGGGATTGAGGCAGGAGGATCACAAGTTCGAGTCCAGCTCGGGCAACTTAGAGACTCAGCAAGACCCTGTCTCAGAAATGAAAGAGAAGACCTGGGGATCTGGCCCAATGAGAAGGCCCTGGGTTTAATCCCCAGTGCTGAAGAGGTAGACAAACCCTACTTTTACGGTTTGTGCCATCCATTTGAACTTGCGAGGATCACATCTGTGTATTTGCCTTGGTCCCATTCCATTTCACTACGCTAATGCTTTCCTGAGCACTCCGAAGGCACCAGCTACTTTACACACCAGCATTCAGGTGATGTTTTGATTGGGCCCTTCTGGGTTTACTTACTTTGCAGCAAAATGACCGGCTTGAGTATGATCATGGATTCTGATAGTGCAATCTTTACTCATTATTAACATGGAGAAAGAATACACAATCAAAGCAAACCTCACAAAAAGGCACGATGACAAAATTTTATTTAGTGAGAGAGAGAGAGATAAGGAAAATGAACTTTTGGGGATTTCTAAATGTGTGTGCATTTTTTCTTTTCTGTAATAAATTTATAGAGTTGCGTAGTCATTACCACAACCTGGTTTTGAACGTCCCAGTCTTTGTGAAGATACCTCCTTCCCTTTAGCAGGGAATCCCTGTCCATCACCAGCTCAAAGCCATAGCTAACTTACTTTCTGCTTATATGATTGATTTATACTACACCATCCCTGAGCTTTCTATATAAAGAGGAACACACAAAATATGGTCACTCACTTGGCTCCTTGAGTATGATGTTTCTGAGGCTCATTTAGGATTCGTGATTTATCAATACCTTGTGGTTTTTATTGCTGAGTAGGATTCCATTATTATAAGGATATACCGCATTTTTCTGTTTCTCAACAGTGAAGGTGTGTGTGCATTGTTTTCAATATGTGGCTGTTATCAGTAATAATGCCATAAATGAAAATATCTCCCTACAAGTCTCTGGTTGTATTTCTCTCAGATACCTAGGGAAGGAAGGCAACTTTTTAAAAAGTGGCTAAGCCATTGTACATGTTTTTCATGTAGATTGTTTCAAGAATCATGTCTTCATCGTAAGCAGGTGTGGAGAGGTATATCACTGTTGTTTTAAATCGTTCACACATTAAGCGTGGAGCCCACTGGGGAATTTTAAGTGAGTGGGCACAGCCCCTCAGAGGGGCTGTGTGGCAGAGATCTTTCCCTCTCCCTTTCTCCCTAGTGGCTGTGACATGAGCTGTGTCTTTGTTATTCCTTCATTGCTAAGGAGAGGATTATTTTTGCTCCTGTTTGGAGTCCACCATCACTGACTCCAAGACAGAAGTTCACGGTGGATGGGCCTGGTGGGGTGCAACCAGGAAGCAGAGCATGAAGGGAGGAACAGGGGGGCAGAGGCACCCATGCAGAGCATCTCCAGTGGCTGTCTCTTCGCACAGACCTGACTCTGGACAGGAGCTGAACTGGAGGCGCCCACCATCTGCCCCCCACCAGAAGCGTCACCTGCACTGAGCACGGGAGGCGCCCAGGAACCTCCGAGCCCTGCACAGTGTGCTCCCCTACCCTGGACCCAAGGCAGCCTGCAAGATGATGCATGGAATTGTTTAAATGCGTTTCATTTAATTTCCATATATTTGAAAAATTTTAAGGTTCATTTATATAGCATTCTAGCCATTTGATGAAATTTGTTCATTAAATTCCAACAGTGCTTTCTGTGAAATCTCTACAGGCTTTCTCTTACAAACTCATGCTATTTATGAGCAGAGATAACTTTAATTCCTCCGGCCCAGCTTGGGTTCCCTTGCTTCCTTCTCCTGTCCCTGGCTCTGGTCAGAACTTCCATCCAGGTACTGCGTGGAAGTGGTAATATCAGGCGTGCGGTGTTTATGATGTCAGGTCGAAGTTTTCCACCTTTTATATGATGTAATGTGCACATTTTGAAGTGCGCGTTGAGGAATTGTCCTTCTGTTCATTGCTTGTAAGTGTTTTAATTAGTAGTGTTGGATTTTGTCAAATTTTTCTACATCAGTAAGGAGTATTGAATTTTTTTTTCCTGGCTTATGTTATCTTTTTCCTGTCTCCTGAAGTTCTAGAGTACGATACCAATTTGAGAATGTTTCCTTTTGCAGCATGTGTCTCTGCAGGTAGAGATGTCCCAGCCATGGAAATGTCCCTGTCACCACTGTTTCTGCTGCTTCCCTGGTCTGGCATGCTCTGTTTGCATTTGCATAAGTATTTCTAAATTTCTGTCCTTTGAGAAATTTATTATTTAAATGTGGCTCATTTAATTTTCATATACTTGAAATTTTTAAGGATCTTTTTATTTACAGTTCTAGCTATTTTCTGTTTTCCATAACCATAAAATATACCTTTTTTTATTTCAGTGATTCAACACCTGAATTATTTGTGAATGACCTCGTGGTTCATACGAGAGAAAGTCCTACTTGACAGAAGTGTGAAATCACTGCATGGAGTGATACATGTGCATCATTTTACACTAGTGACACGGTGGGGTCCAAATCTCTAAACTCACACTGTGTTCTACTTTATTCTGCTTCCTGTTACTGAGATTGGGAATGTTGGAGCCTCAATCACTGTGGCCTTGTTTGTTTGTCCCTTTAAATTCACTGTGATGCCACATATATGTCGGCCCTTTGATACTTATGTCTGTGGTAGCTGTTGGTAGCTGCTGTGTTTTCTTGGTGAATTGAGTTTTTATCATCCATGATATTGTGTTTTGTCTCTTATCACAGGATTTGAATCAAAGTCTCTCTTTCTGGTATTAGTGTAGGTACTAAGATTTTTTTTGATTATTCTTTATGGGAAATATTTTTTTCTTTTCAGATTATTTGTGCCTCACATCTAAAACTACTTGACAAGGGCAGATAATTGGGTAGTGTTTTTACCTGTTCTGTCATCTGTCATCTGATGGCTTCTGACTGGGTGTATTAATCCATTCAAGTTAAATTCGTGCTAATGAAAAAGGACTCTGTTGTTTTCTGTCTTTTAGCTTTTCTCTCTCTAATTTCCCCCAGAATAGCCTTCTTGTCTTTAGTGAGTTTTTGTAGTCACATGTTTGATTCTCTCTTCCTTTCCATTTGTGCATATTTTATAGATGCTGTATTTTCTGCTATGGAAATCACATACAACATACGGAAGTCTTAACTGATTTGGGTTAATACAAACTCAAAGTAAATGGCATTCACAACATGATGAGAAAATGAAACGAATGTTAATTTTTAAAATTATTACAGTAAAAGGCACATTTCCAGTAATCCTCCTCAGAATGTGACCCCGACTTTTAAAACACTTATCCTGTCATCATTGTCATTTTCTGATGCAGTTCTGGGAGTTCCCATTTGTCCCTGTAGTTACACTGTACCGGTGCCTGAACACCTTGAATCACTTCAAAATGTCTCCCTCGCATAGTCCTTTTGACTTTGGGAAAGAGCCACAAGTCACACAGTGCCAGACCTGGTGAGTAAGGACAGGCTGCAATATTTTTACAAGGCTGCCTTTTTATGGAAAGAACTTAGCAAATCCATTCATCATATATTTGACCACACCTTGTAAGGATACTCACAAAGGAGGACTTCCAGGCCCCCCCCACACATTTAAGAGAGGAAAATGTTTTGAGGGGGATTAACACTAATGACAATTTGCTTTTTTAATGTGTCTTGATCTGGGACTTTTTGGGTGTATATGAATTGCTGAGTTTATCTGATCTGTAGATTCATGTCCTTTTCATATTTGAGAAGTATTTGAATGCTCTTTCACTTTCTTTCTTTCTTCCTTTTCTCTTTCCTTCCTTCTTTCTTTCTTTCTTTCTTTCTTTCTTTCTTTCTTTCTTTCTTTCCTTCTTTCCTTCTTTCCTTCTTTTTCTCTTCCTGTTATTCTTATAATATGTTTTGTGGTCTACTGATGTTGCCCCATAAATATCTAAATATTGTTCACTGTTTTCTTTTATATTCTTTAGACTCAATTATATCAACTGTCCTACCTTCAGGTTCATTAATTTCCTGCAAAACTGTTATTTAGCCCTACTAATGAATTTTTCATTGTAGTTTTTCTATTTTTTGGATCCAGAATGTTATGTTTTTAAAAATAATTTCTACTTGTTTGATGATATTCTTATTTTGATTATATTTCATGGTCCAAATTTCCTTTAGTTCTTCATCTTTATTTTCCCTTATCTATTTTAGCAAATTTAATATATAGTAGTCTTAGTATTTTCCTTATCTATTTTAGCAAACTTTGGGTAATGTTTTTAAAGTCTTAGCCCAGTAAATCCATTACCTAGGATTCCTCAGCTTGATTTCTGTCAGTCATTTTATTTTTTACATGGGCCACACTCCTGGTTTGCAATTTTTGTAGGACTTTTGAAAACTGACATTTTATTATTGTGGTAACTTTGGAAATCCTCTTTCCATCATTTCCCAATGTTTCCTATTTTGTTGTTGCTTGAAGTGAAGGTTGCTATAGTCAATTTGCTTTGACACTTTTCCACACAATTGTCACAGAGACTCTTCCTGGCCCGTGTACTCTCTATGGCTGTAAGTTTAATTTGCATTCAGCTGGATCTCTTATCCAGAGAGTTCCTGAAATGGTGAGAGCTGAAATAGACAAAAAAAAAAAAAAAAAAAAAAAAACATGAAACAAATAGAGAACAGAATAAAGACTGTCCTCCATCCTCCCAGACTGCCTCTGTGCTAGGATAGTTTGTGAACTGGCTATACTGGCTGTCAATCTAGGGTTCAACTGAGGTGAGAAATTAAGAGATGCTAAGAAATTTTGTTGGGTATGCTTGTGACCTTAAAAATTCATCTGTGAATTCAGTTGCTTTGAATATCTTAATTTCTGGAGTCTCACTCTGGCTTTTTTATTTTTGTTTTTGTTTTGTTTGTTTTGCTTTGCAGGGATCTGGATAGTCTATTATATGTCTCGATCAAGAAATTCCCTGTGGTCTGTGGATTTCCTTGTCCCATGTAGATTTTAAGAACAGCCCTCACTGCTTGTATTTTTTGTGTATGCGTTATTTATAGGAATGTGTCATTATTTATAGGAATACAGAAGAAAAGACAAATAGATGCGTCTTAGCAGAGTACATAAATATGATAATCTTGGATACTGCTATTTTGTAACTTATTTTTCTGGCCATTCTGGCTATATGTGGAGAGGTTTAGAAAAGATTAAGCACAAAATGATTCTTCAGTGAGACACCTCAGCTCTGATCCATTGGTATCCCAGGGTGGGCTAACAGAATACAGATATATCAGTACACATAGTGTGAGTGATAAACATGCAGAACCAGTTAAACTCAAATGTTTCTCCTTAAGTGAAAGGAGGAGGATTTCATTTTGCGTTCATTATCATTTTAATAGAAGATGAAACAATGATGGAGAGCTACCCAAATCCAAAGAGATATTATCTAAATATCCACCTTTTCATTTCATAAATCTCCCAAGTTCTAGTAGGACTCTATTCTACCTCTCTATTTGTTGATCATAACTCTGGGTACCTCAATGTTATACTGCATCATTGTATCTATATAATGTCTAGCTTACTACATTTAATTGAAATCTCTATTTTGAAAAACTAAAGACACCGCTAATTAAATGGTGTAGAAGGAACCTATAGTTGCTGAATTTGGTAAGAAGACCATAATATAAACTACTTAGACATGCATAATAGTTCATAGAAGATAATCAATAAATTATGAGTGTATCTATTCATGTGTGTTTGAATGTGAGTGTTTGTGTAAAGATTTTTTTTCAGATGTCCAGTATAAATTAATCTTGAGACAATGAATGTCTTAATAAATCAGTATTGCCAATGGCCAATCGATGCAAGTTAAGTTTCTTGTAAGACTTTTACTGAGGGAGACACTCTTCAGCTCTTCTGTAGTAGAGAGAAATGGGCGTGGCCTAAGTGAGGTATACAACACTTTAGGTTGATTCCAGGGCTGTGATTCAGTTGGAAATCTCACAGATAACTTTTCTATTTTCTATTATTTCATTTTTTTTACTCTGAGATTCAGTCCCAAATCTATTCAGCATGGTAGCACATCTCCAACTTGATTCTATCCAACCCCATATACACACCCTTATATTTTAAAATCCTGTGCGAATTTTTAGTAGAGATAAGTATGTGGTTTTCTATGTCACAAGGATAGTAGAGAATCGCTTGGGATTGTAGCCTTTTATTTTATACCTCAGTCTTACCTTTGCCCACCAAGGAAGCTGGGAAGCTTTCTTTCCTCAATGTGGAGGCCCAGGAGAGACTTCAGTGGCTGTCATTACCAACATCTTCATAAACATGTGCACAGAGCCAGTCTCTTGTCTAAATGTTGTGAACAGGCTTTGATGAACATGACTGATTTTTGGTTTCATCTTACAGTTTATGGCATCTTCTGCTGTGTTCCAAGCAGGATTTTCCCATTGTTCACCAACATCCAGAAAAGATGTTAAATTTTACTTTTACTTTAGAATAAATAGGATTTCACACTGAGGATGTTTCATAGCTTGTACATTTGAGACTGAGGCAAAGGTCTGTACTGTCCAATATGTGGGATCTAGATGTGTAGATAGCAAAGTAGTTTTCCTTCCAAAGAATTCTTTCTATAAACTGTAACTTTGTAGATTTGCTTCTAGCTGGGAACAATAGTTGGGGTAAGATAAATCGGCTTTTGCAGCCAGGGTGGAAAGCCGACTCGTCTGGTTCTTCCCATTAGGCAGTACTTGAAACCCACCTGGGGATGCTGGGAAAGTCTGGGCCACACTCCCTCTTTGCTTCACTTTGTTTTTGTCCTCCCACTGCCAAACCTTCGTGAACTCCCAAGGACATTCGATCTTTCCAATTTTCCCACCTGTAATGAAATATACAAGTGTAAGCGTCCTGTGAAGAATTCAAGTACAATTGTTTGTCTACCATTGAGCCCAAGCCAGCTGAGAACCCAGCTGAGACATCTCCTCAGGGCTCCTCGTGGAGCCACAAATCTGGAAGCAATTTTATTTTTCCTACAAATATTCCATAGACCCACCATTGGATGCTGTCAAAGACAAATTATCAAAGCAAACAAAGCAATGGCATGTGTCTGACTGGGAGTGTCCCTGGAGGCCACAGCGCGATCTCATCTCCATGGCGCCCTTTGTGGTCCTGGCTGCACGGCTGGATCTGTCACCCTTTTCTACCATGAAGCTCTTGAGCACTGGCCCATGTGCAATGCCACACGGTGATAGGGGAATGATTTCAACTGCATTGCTTCTTTATATTTTAAAAAGGAACTGGAAATCAGAATCACAACCGATGCAGCCAGGTTGAGGTTCATAAAGACTTTGAACAATGTCAGGCTTCAAGGACAGTTTCATAAGAATCATTAACGTTTTAAAAGATACCCATTTCTTTCTGCCATTAATGATATGCATACTAGCTTAATGTAATGCTACTTTTAATTATCATGGCCCTTTCTGTTAAATATCAAGTTCTCCTCTCTAAACTGGCCTGCGTTCTCTTTGGAGTCTCGTCTGTCACCATAAATGCCATCACTCTATTCCTCCTTTCGAAGCAGTGACAGGCCTGCTCTTATCCCAAGCTTTATCTCTTTTTCCATCCTTTATTGTACTACAAAGATCCCTTTTTCATAGTTTACAGCTGTATCCGCTTTCCACACGTGGCAAATGATTGCCTCGGTAAAGGTATTTTCTGTTTCAATCTTGCATTTTCCCAAGGGAGAACAAAAGAGACAAGCTCTCTGGAGTTGGTTTCACTGAGAAAATTGTTTAGAATTGCCTCATTCCTCAGCAGATTAACGAATGCATACAATCCCAGCTTAAGTGCTATTGTACGGCACAATTTGTCCATTATACTTTGTCCTTTCCATTTAGAAAACCCCTCACCAATTAAAGTAATACAGCCTTCCAATACCTGCTCCCAATTAAATCCGAGCTGTATTACCTGCCCCGCTGCAGCTGGTCACAGATTCCTACCACTTACCCGCATTCATTAGGCCTGTTCATTATCAACGGGATACAGGCAGGAATTCAAGCCACAGCCTGCCTTTGAGGGCTCACCAAAATTACCAGCTTTCCCCCCAAGGCCCCTGCAAGGACAGGATTAAGTGCAAGGGGAAGGAATTCATACAGTAGCAAACTCCATTGTCTCTGTGGTACCCGTGTCCTCTCTATCTTAACGCATCAAAAGGATACAGTGAAGGTACAAAAGCCCCTCTGCTGAATTGAAAGATCACCTTTCCCTTGCTTTCCAGCCCCAGGCTCACCTTCCTCTGTCTTTACCACCCTCCCCTTTCAAGCCTTTTCTGTGAGCCCACAGTGTACATCATACAGATGGGCTCTGAAAATGACCAGAGTTCCACTCACTGCGAGCAGCTTGGTACCCTCAGAGCAGAGCCTTCCAGCTTTGGGCTGGACTCCAAAGGGGCTGGTTTATCTATTCAAGGCTTAAAGTGTCTGGAAGGAGCAAGGCAGGTAGAGATCAGGGAGGATGGACCCTCCCAGACATCATGAATTAACTCCAGATGGGACCCAAATAGTGTCAGTGGGTTCCCAGACAAACCGGGACCTCCCAGGAGCAACACACAGACATGCACGACCAGGACAGGCCTGATTTACTTTCATTTTGAAGAGGGGAACACAGCAGCAATTCTTGGGACCCCTGATGGCTTTCTCTCTCAATTCTTGATCAGAAAATCTAAATAAGGGTGTAGGTGCCCTATACATGGGAACAGATCATAGGCCAAACAGGAGTACATTAAACAGTGCTAGAGGGAAAGCTAGGAGAGTAAAGAACACTGGTTGGGTAGCTACCCAAGGTGAGAAATTTGATCTTCAGGTACTGAAACTCTTGGCCAAATAAAGCCAAGAAATCCTGACAAATCTGTCTGGAGATCCCTGAGGAGGTGGAGTATAAGAACTGTCCCAGCCACTGGTGGCCCCTGGAGTGAGAGGTTCAAGTGAGGCCCTCATTTCTTTTCATGGAGAAAGCAAATTCCACCCATCTCCCCTAGAGAGAAGGAACTGACATTGTGTACTAAAATGTCCTTTTTAAAATATTTGATTAGGAGATGAAATTAATATGTATCCTCTCTTGAATTCCTACATGATATTTGTCCTTTACTCAGCAACACCTTTAAAAGGATGTAGATGATCTGGTACCTCGAATGGGCAGGTGCTGGGGGAAGCCTGCTCCGGGAAAACCTGCAGACTTCCCCAAGGAGCAGACAGACGTGGTGGGTGGATCCTCGGTGAAAATCCATTCTAAGCAACTTTACTCCCAGTCTTTATTGTATACATACAAATCTTATCAATGAACGGCACCATATGCATAGCCAAGGCTTTTCATTTTCGGGGGGGGGGGTTGTATATTAGTGTTTTCCTCTCAATTAACTTCTAGGCAATTTTCCCAGCTAAATGCATAACATCTTTGGCATGATGCCAAACAAAACCTTAAGACCCAACACTAAATTCTGCACTTATCCGGGCTGCTTAGATTTTCACGCAGTGATCTGGAAGCGAGCCAGCGACGCCCACTAGACACCCAGCAGTGGAAGCCTATATATATATATTTTTTTTTTTTATCAAGAAAATCTACTTTAGATTTCCAAGACCACTTGAAAATTGCACTATTTTAATGTGCTTTTTAGACAAAATAAAAGATTTAACCTGCTATTAAATTAACCCAATTAGCTATTTATTTCACATAACCTTACACTTTGGGTGCTGTTAAATCAAATAAACTGCCAATGAATGATTTTTTTTTACTGAATTATGGAAATTACAAATGCATTCTAGACAATACATTCTTCTGTCTTTTCTTGTACATTTTTCACTCTGACAAGATTATCAAAATACTTTTTCAAATTTCTTTTCTTCTTCTCCCCACCTCCCTTGGCCCCCACTATACCAAATGGAATTTCCCAGGATACAATCCCACAACTGAAAGGCCTGGGAATGGTGGCAGGGGAATTAACAAGCAAAAGAAAACTAATCAAATAATAGGAATTGATACACAACAGCCACTCTTTGGAAGGATGGCCGGCCGCACCTCAAAGTTTTCTTTCTGGTGTGCTTTGATTTGTACATTTCATTTGGCACATGTGTTCCTTCGACAGCATAGTACTTTTCAAAGTACTGGCTGCAGCTGGGCAGCTGTGGACCTCAGTCAAGCTTTGTTAAGTTAAATTTAGAAAGAAACTCTAGGCATGTGAGTCCTGTCCACTGGGATCTCCAAACTGAGGTAAAGAAAAAAAAAATACCTTCTAGATCTGGCATAGTGTCTGATAAAACACTTTGAGGACTAAAAAGCTTTTGGAAAACAACATTTTGAGGATTTAAGAGGCAGCGAACTAGAAACATATGGATTATATTTCCCCCCAAATACTCAAGGGTTTAAAAATTAAGAGAGAAATGCTTGGCCAAACAAATTTTGCCCAACCAGAAAAAAAAAAAAAAATCACAAGACAAGCTAAGATTGTTTGTTACGCTCAAAGGGCTGATGAGATTCCTTTTTAAAATATTAACTATTCTTATTATTATTTTAAAGCATTTCTGTCTGGTAAATCTTGAGTTCAAACACATCTGGAGTGAGTTCAGAGAATAGGAGTTCACATCAGAGTGATTTTGCAATGTTCAAAACAAATCATGAATCACACCGTAGCAACTTTGTGAACTGTCTACAGGAATCCGGGGACAGGGATGCTTTGGCCCTGGTGGTTGGTGTCTGCTTGTCTCCACTGCATGAGGGACCTGTAGGTCATGTCCTGTAAGGATACAGGAACACAAGGCAGGCAACAAGCATAGTCTCCAATTGTGCATGCACCTAGGACACCAGCCTCTCCCTGACACATTAAAAAAAAAGGAATCAGAAAGGCGACTCCCTAGGAGGATGCAGGAGACCCTTGAAGAATATCGTTTGCTCTCTGATTGTCAATAACCACCGTCAGACCCCAGTTCTGCTTGTCTGATCATTCAGCAGCTCAGAACTCTCACTGGGCAAAGAAACAGCCCAGCACGACAGAACACAAGAACGGAATGAGCTGTTCCCGCCTCCCCGCTGTCTCTCCTTGTATGGTCCTCTGCCCCTTCTCATCCAAGCTGGGCAAGGCAGGTGTAGCACTGTGGATGGACCGAGATGGGCTTCAAGAGCCACACAGAGCCCAGACACTGGAGCTGGGAGCTTTAGAGCTGATATGTGAATAGGAGAGAAAATCAGAAAGAAAATGAAAGGACAAATCAGCGAATACGTAACACAAAGAAAGAGGGAGAGAGAACAAAAGGGAGACAGAGGGAGAGAGAAACAAATGCAGCCCACAGACAGCATTAACAGAAAGGACATTATAGGCAACTTGATGAGCACTTTGTACACATTTTTGTGCCAGTATTTTACAGTCTTCTGATTTATTTCGGTTTTGAATGTCTACTTTTCAAGCAAGTTGGTTAAAACTGAGCGAGGTTTGGTGGTGGTAGAGGTGTCTGGCCATGTTGGATCTGGGATAGGACAGTACTGAGGAACCTTGACACTTTCTCTAGGGGAGAAATAACGGTTCCATGTGAAAAAAAAAAAAAAAAACTCTCTTTGAACATTTTAGCAAAGCCATACGTGTCATGATATTTAAAGACACAGAAGTAGCACTTAACTATGGAGAAATGATATTTTAAAACATTGTGTTCAGAACTGTATTTCTGAAACAACACCAAATTCCTGGGAAGCTCTGGAGAGAATTATAAAGTGATCCATGTGCTGTGTGCTTTATTTTATATAAGTAACAGTGCATCCATTGAATATATCCTAAATATTTTACCTGATATAAGGAATGTTATGGCGCCCATTTTATACAGGAAATAAGAAATC